GGGGGAGAGGGGAGGGAGAGGGAGGGGGGCAGGCACTTTGGGTGACCTGCTTCCTGGAGGCTCCATTCCGTCTGTTTATCCACCGGATGCCACACAGGGCGGGATACTTGGCTCCAAACTAGGAGTCTCTACTGCCTACCACCTTCACCCTATCTTGGCACACACCCTTGTAACACCCTTGTCTTTTTGGTCATCAAGTGCTCCACTGGCACCAGGGACCAGCCCCATATTTCTTGGACGTGAGGTTCTGTAATCCACAATAACAAAATAAAATAAAACAACGTATTTTCTGACTCCTGACTCTTGGCTGAGAAACTGCAGTTCTCTTGGAGGTGTATGTTGAGATCCACATACGACTTTTTAAGAAAGTGACCTCTGTGGTGAGCGGTGGTGTTGGCTTCACCCTGACTTCCTCTCCCTCCCCACCCTGGGCAGCGCCCTTGCCCACACACAGAGAGTGGGCTCAGTTAAAACGGGGCTAAAGACCACAGCCGCCAAGATGCAGCCTTCCAGCCCTCTTCCCATGTCTCTACTGTGCGGGCTTAAGCTTTGTTTCTCCCGAAGGGTGGGTAGAGAGGAAATGCAGAGTTTTCGTGGAAACTCACGCTGGCCAGGAGTAAACCAGGACAGTAGAGGGGATGCAAGCTCCTGAATGGCAAACAGGACATGCCTAATTAGACCTGGTGCGGGCTGGAACCGACTCCAAATCGCCAACCACGCTGGCTCAGTCTCCTGGGACGTGGGCTGCTGGGCACTTAACATTTGAAGAAATAGAAACTTCCTTCAGAGAAGCCTGTACTCAGAGAAACTGAAGACATCTCTTCTTGAAAAGAGGAAATATATTCACGAGGATTTGTTTTCTTAGCAAATCATAAAGTAACGTCTGACCTTCAGCGACTGTGTGAAACAAGCAGGACCCCACTGGAAAGTTACTGGCCACGCAGGCCGACGGGGCTGCAGGGCTCCCCGGGTGTGCCAGCGCCCCGTGTCCTTCTGGCCACAGTCCGGAACCTCTCTCGCCCTGAGTCCCTGAAAGCAAGGTGGGTCAGGTGGGGATGGGCGGGGCGCGCCGAGGCCACCTGGAAGGTCCCTTTCCCGCGTGATCGCCGCCGTGGGGCTCGGGCCCTTCTCGGGCGTCCCGGGCAGCGGGAGGGGAACGCGCTGCGGGCGCCTTGGGCTGCGAGCGGAGAGCAGAGCGCCGCGGTCCGTGGTCCGCGGTCCGAGGAGTGTGACCCTTTCTCTCTAGAGCCGAAGCGAAGGCCGAGCTGGCTGAGTGGCGCCGAGGGAATCCAATGTTTAGGGTCGGCTGCGGGAAAATCCACAGGCTTCTTTGCGAACAGAGCGAAGTTGAATGTTCTCCAGGCTCTGGAGTCGGTAAATAACCAGCCCGCGAGTGGATGCATAGCTCCCAACTAGTCTCTTTATTTATGTGGTCAGTGGGCGCCTTGAACGGAGGGGCCTTGGCACTGCCGGGCAGAGGAGGCCCGACCCGCGAGGTGCCTCCCAGGGCCCCCAGACCCGCGTGGAGGCTGCGGATCCAGGCGCAGCGGTTGGACCCGAAGAAGAGTGGCATTTCGTTCCTCGGAATGTCGCGCCTCTCGGGCACAAGCCTCCCGCTGGACGGAAGTCAATGCAACACACCTTCCCGCCGCCCCTTCCCTTCCTGCGGCTGGACACAGGGTCTGGGGCCTCGCTGCCGGAGCACCAGTCGCGCCTTCGGAGACCCGGCGCCGAAACTGCGCGCAGACTGCGCGCAGCGACTCCTCCGCGCAGCTCACACCCGCGCTGCCCTCGCTGCGCTCCCGGACGCGGAGGGCCCGCCACCGGACCCCGCAGGGCCGGTCATGCCCCGGGGCCCAGGCATCACCGAGTCGCCACTTCTCTCACTTCTGAGCGGAGGAGCCGGCAAAGGATAGACGGGGCCGGCCAGGCCACTTTGCAAGCCCCACGGGAGAGGGCCGGCCTGGGCTTGACCCCGCAGCTGTCAGAGTTTCCTCTCCCAGAGTGCCCAGCTGCTCTGATGGCTACACCTTTGGCAGAAGGGGTAGGGTGGGGAGGCTCCGGGGTGGCAGGGAAGGGGAGCGGGGAGGAAGCACAGCTAAGACAGTGCAGTGGTTTCCCTGTGAGAAAGGCTGGCGTTCCCGCACTGCGGCTGTGAGCGGGGTGATGTGTTTGGGGGGAAATGAGAATTGCTGTGGGCATTGTAAACTCGTAAGGTTCAGGGCCTGTTTTCCTTAGGGGAGGTGAAGCACGCTGGGGATCTGGAGGGGTGGCAGAGCGGCCTCAGAGCCTGTCTTTTGGACCCTTCAAATGAGGGGAAAGAGGCGACGCCCTCCTGAGTGGGGAGACCAGGGACGCGTGACCTCCGGTGCGCCAACTGGTAATGACCCATCCCTACCCTCATGAGATCTCCCCGTAGGTGTCAAGGCCTGGGCGCGTACTCACCCACCCGCTCCGCGTCCATCTCCGCGGCCAGCTCGCTGGGATCCCCGGGAGGCTCCGACCCGCTCTGCCTTCTCTCTCCGCCGCCGAGGCCACCGGCGCTGTGAACCTCCGACCCCCGCGGCTCTGGCACCAGTTGCATAAACTGAGAGCTTTCGGGGCTCCTCGGTGGCCCCCGGAGTTGCAAGGCCTCAAGGCCAACTTGTTCGCGCTCTAGTCTCAGGATGTCATTGACGGAGAAGGGCGTGGAGGTGACAGGGTTCTGCAGCATCCCGAAGGCGGAAGGAGTAGGGTTGGGGCGCTCCCGGGCCCCGCGGAACGCAGCTCCCTGAGCTTCTCGTCTCCTCGCCGCTGGCACCGCAGGCCCAAGGTCTGGGGCAGACGCCTAGCGTCCGGGACTGCGCCTTCCTCAGGGCCATCCCTACGGGGCCGATGACCAGGGCCGAGTGACGATTCTGCCGACCCCCATTGGTTCCTGCAGAAACCACGTGCTAACCCAGCGGCACCTTCCTCCCAAGCGCGGTCCTCCCGCGCCCGTCCAGCTCCTCCGCAACCCCCGCCGCGCGCTGGGGAGGCCTGGTGCGTCCCGACGGTTCTCAGCGGCCAGGAAGAAGAGCGCGACGGTGCGGCGCGAGGCTCGCACCTCGGTGAATACGGTACCGGCGCGAGCTCCCGAGGTCAACGCGGGGTCTGCGGGGACCTTCCCGGAGGACCGGCGGGGATGGGGGGATGGAGCCGGTGCTTTGCAACCCGAGCCGGCCCTTCCGGCCCCGCAGCGGCCTAACCCTCCGCTCCAGCTGTGGAGGAACGCAGGTGGGGCGCGCTGGGCACCGCGGGAGTCTCCGCGCGCGCAAGGCCGGAGCCGGCCCCCGGGAGCGCCTTCCCCGGAGCAGGGCTCGGGCGGCGGAGGAGCGAGTCTTGACCCGCCACGGCCCAGACGGACGTGGAAACAAACGTCTCGCTGAGAGCGCGGACCCGCCGCTTCCCAGGTGGAACGTGCCAACCCCGCAGCCAGGAAAGCGCGAGGGAGCTGCATTGGGGGATCCCCCTGGCTCTTAGCAGGCTCCGCCAGGGGGTGGGGAGGAGGCAGAGTAAAAGCGATGCCAGACAGGGGGTTCCCTTGCCCTTCACGTCCCGCGTTCCCTCCCCCTCCCCCTTTCTCCCTAAAATTGCCTTGAGCCCGCGCGCGCGTGACTGTGACGCGGCGCCCTCCGAGGGTGGGCAGTTTTGCTGAGCGTTAAAAGCTCCCGGGACACCGCCGGCACCAAGTGCGGGAGGCGGTGCGGTACAGTGGGGCCACGTCCAGCCTTGCTCCGGGGCGTCTGAATTGCGGGCTTGGGGCAAAGTGGTAGTTATCCGTCGAGGCGCTTACTAATCAAAGCTGGAGATGCCGGTGTGCGCCTCAGAGGACGGTCGTGAGGACCCAGTGGGGTGACGTGTGTGAAACCCTCGGCGGGCGTCCGCTGCTGAATTTCTCCTGCTACGTGGTTCACGCAGGACAGCAGGCCCGGGGCAGGAGTCTCAGCACAGTCTAAGTCGTTTAAAAATATTTTAAAACCGAAGTGAGTTCTCAGTGGAGTTCTTTTTGGGATTTTCCATCGAATGTTTCTTAAATAAACCTTTTTAGGCAAATGCCATATTACCAGGACAATCTGGGCATTATTATTTCTTGAAATCCAGATAAACTGGGCTCATCTGCCCAGGCTGGTGGGTGCAAACATTCTTGAAAAAATTCACATAAAATTTTGGCAAATCGGATGGTTTAGCTAAGTAATGATTTCTTATACATCTTTTTTTTTTTTTAAATATATCTTTATTGATTTCAGAGAGAGGAAAGGAGAGGGAGAGACAGAGACAGAAACATCAATGATGAGAGAGTCATTGATCGGCAGCAGCCCTGCAACCCGGGCATGTGCCCTGACCGGAAATCGAACCCCGATTGCCTGGATCTTAGGTCGATGCTTAACCGCTGAGCCACGCCCGGCCGGGCTTCTTATACATCTTATCATTTAACCTTTACATCAAAACTATTCCTGGAGCTCTAGTGTTTTCTTTTTTTTTTCCCCCAGCAAGGAATCACATCAGAGAGGTTAAGCAACTCCCAAGGTGGCCCAGCGGTTCAATGCCAGGGTGCCCCCAGACTCTGGTTTTGCCAAAACAGTACCCTTCCTTTTTTTTTTTTTTCTGAAAGAGACATCACTTTGTCTCCAGAGATGTCGAAATCTTGCAATGACCCATCATTTATTTAAATTTAATTTTTTTTCTGATTATAAAAGTCATGCACACTTTGGGAAAAATGGCAAATAAGGAAAAGTTGGAAAGAAAACAGTGATCCATCCAGAGACAACATCTGAGTGCACTTCCTCCTCTGTCCAGCGTTGCACATGTGGGTATATGTGAGTTTGGAAATTTTAAATTTACATCATAACCTTGCCCAGAACTTTGTTAGAGTTTTTACAGATATATTTTAAAATGGCAATATAATAGTCCATGTCATGAATGGATCATAATAGACCGTGTTTATAATTTTAGATTATATCCATTATATCTAATTTTTCTCGACACTGTGAAGGCTCAGGGAACATCTTTGTGACTTCATCCTTGTCAACAATTTGGATTATTTCCTCAGGATAAATATGTAAAAGAAACATTAATTAATCAAATGTTTTAATGCTCATAAGACACCCCAGGACTTCCTTTAAAAATAGTGTGATCTTATCTCCCTCTTTGCAGAGTTGCAGGCAAAGGTCTGGTAGGTGGGTGTTTGCAACGACTGGTTTAGGATATTTCTGTGCAGAGGACCACGGATAGGCCTGGCCCTTTCCGCACCAGTAGCTCAGCTGGGTCCTCACCTTCCAAGCTGGGGCCAGTGGGCAACCCCAGATTCAAACAGCCAACTGAGAACAAAACCAGTGCCTCATTCCAGGTGGGATTCTGTCATGCCCTGTGAAGTCATAGAAGAAGGACACCTTGGGAGACTTGGCATCAGAAAGCCTAAGTTCAAATCCTGCTCTCAGGTCCCGGCCTTGCCTTTCTTTCCTGCCTTGCCTCAAGGGTCAAATGAGGTTTTGGATATGAAAAGACTTTCTAACCCCTTGTAGGTGGTGCAAACACGGGTTTTCGTTAAGCTAAGGGCTTAGGCCCTGGCGCACCCGGGGCACACTTGGAGAGAGGTGCTCAATCCCCTCTCGCCCAACCCTGCAGGAAGCGGGGAGTCATGGCACTGGGGTCTCAGCTCCCAGCACTCTCCTCCTGCCTAGGGCTCGCCCTCCTGGAGTCGCTGGAGTCTCAGCTCCCCCACTTTCCTCCCTTTCCAGCGTGAGGGCGCACTGAGAGCCGCCCTCTGGAGAGTGGAACCAACAGCGCTGATCATTCCTGATCCGCCCCATCCGAGACAACCGCAGCCACATTAGGGACTGTCCCGCTGCTGTCAGGTGAGCTCCAGCGAATGGCCAGCTTGCCGAAGCTCGAGTGTCCTGGAGGGGCAAGGAAGAAGCTAGGCCGGGCGTTCAAGCAGAAAAGCTGGGGAGTCCCGGGGTTCTCAGGCAGGACTTGGCCCAGCCCAGACTGTGTGGTGTCGTGTGTGTGTGTGTGTGTGTGTGTGTGTGTGTGTGTGTGTGTGTTTTGCTCATTTCTTGCTCATGAGTGGAGAAGTCGTCACCTCTCTTCTTAAAATGAGATGGAGATGGCCCTTGCAGGGGTGAGTGGATCTGCTTAAGTCCACTCAGGTCACACAATAAAAACTTAAACCAGTACTAGGTCCACAGACGTGTTTTGAGTGCCTGAGCACGGAGGCTATGAGGGGTCTCAGTCCTTTTATCTTATCCCATCCTTGCACAGGAGACAGATTTTAAATGATTCCCATGCAGGGTGATACTTTGCACAATCATATGGAATTTGTGCACAATATTTTTTGAAACTCTTCCCATCCGTGGTTGACCAAAGTTCTCCCTCCCCCCCATTTCTTTCAGACTTTCCTAATACTTAAAAATTCCCCCTTTAAAATTCAGTATACAACAGGCGCTTGGGTCCTGGGCGCTTGCGGGGAGACCAACTGTCTCTAAGGTCTGTAACGTGAGTGCAGGGTCCCATTAGACTAGACTAGGACTCTGGGTTTGTTGTCGGAGCTGTGTCCCTAGGGTCTAGGCTAGTAACCAGCCCCTCCTAGAGGACCAATAAGATTTGTTGGTTAAAGGAATCTGCCTTGTTTGGCTGGGGATAGTCCCTAAGATCCCCTGGTCCAGAGGTGCCTGGGCCGCCTGGGGCTGGAGACCGAATCACCCCACCATGGCGCTTTCTGTTTCGCCATGGTCTCTTTTGCTGGCACCCATTTAAAAATATTGTAATAACTTGTTTATTTCTTGAGTACCTAAAGCATTAACATAATTCTAAAGTCAGAATTTTGCAAAAAGATGTACTCAGAGAAGTGGTCACCACACGTTCATCCTTTCTGGTCCTGTTCCACTGCCCTGCCCTGGTTCCCACACACTCCCCATCTCGTTCATTTATCCTTTCTGTGCTTGTGCTTTTGCGCAAAGAAGCTGATACATGTGTATTTTCCTATTTTCCCTTCTTCCTTATAGGACGAGGTAGCATAATATGGGCACTCTTTCTTGTTGTTAAAAAGCTGTGACATTTATTCAGATTTGTGTATTGATATTAGGCTTCTGATTGCTCCTTGTGGCCGCTGCNATTGATATTAGGCTTCTGATCTAGAACAGGATGTCACCGCTGCCAGGATGTCTATGGATTTCCTGCTCATCCGTCCTCTGCTCAGAATAAGCTGTGCCCTGTCCCTGGTAAGCTCGGGACACTGAGAATCTGTCATATTTCTGACTTGGCACAGCTCTTCGTAACCATATTTCCACAGAGTGTAACTAGTTTTAAAGTAAATCCTTTCAAAACAACACATTGAATTTTCTCATTTTTTTCTTTAAAACAATTTCTTTTAAATGATGACTCCTCTTTTTTTTTCTTCTTTTAGCTTAATTGTCTGTGTTTTACAGATAAACAACACCTTTTTTCCCTCAAGAGGTGAAAAAAGATTTGAAAAATAACTGGAAAGAGTTTTGGGGGAAAACTGGGCTAGTTTATGTGTAGTTTCCTCTTTTATTTTCAATGCACGTTCACATCTTATCTTNAAAGTAAATCCTTTCAAAACAACACATTGAATTTTCTCATTTTTTTCTTTAAAACAATTTCTTTTAAATGACTCCTCCTTTTTTTTCTTCTTTTAGCTTAATTGTCTGTNGATGACTCCTCTTTTTTTTT